CTGGGACCTTTCAATCTGATACTCTAACCACTGAGCCAAACCAACTAGGGCTGGGGTGGTCCATTTAAAGCATGAGTGATCCCTGGGATTAGGGAGATTTAAGCACTCGTGTTCACCTGAGTGAGCCAGTGTTTTCATTTTTTGGAGCCCAAACTACAGTTAATGTGATAAAAGCGTGCTTGTATTCCAGAAGATCTCCGTTTCTGTGACTGCTGTATTCCACTGTGGAGTAGTGTTGGCCACTGGAAAAGATCAAAGGTAGATACTGAAAGTGAGGTTGCCTCTGAAGGGGAAGCCTGGCACAGGTTATAATCCAATTCTAGTAAGTATTGTAATTGCTCCAGGGTCACTGCCTCATATTGGGGTTTCATGTTGGCAAGGCCTGCCCCTGCTTATCACTTACAACCTAAAAGTCACTGCCTTCTAGGCTTTCAATTGGTCCTTCAATGGAAGCAGGGCCTGTTTCTAGCCTGTCACTCATAGCCTTAGCATTACTCTTTCCACTGATTCTTCAATGCTAGCAGAATTCAACCTTGTCTGCCACTCACAGACCCAGCATTACCACCCTCCATATCTCTTTTTGGCCCTTAGACCCAGCGTTACCTCCCCACCCCCGCCCAGACTCCCATTGGCCTTCAATGAGATAAGGCTTTCCTCTGCCTGTCACTCACAGCCCTTATGCCCACATTGTTCAGAATTTCCATTGGTCTTTCAGTGCTGGCAGGGCCTACCTGACCTGACCTTCAAAATTCCAGCACTGCCACCTTCCAGACCTATCATGACTCTTCCATTTGGGCAGGGTCTAACTCAGCCTGTCACTTGCAGCATTAGCATTTCCACTTTCCAGGCCTCCCATTAACTTTTCAATGTAACAGGGCCCACCCCAGTTTGTCATTCACAGCTCTAGTGTCACCATTCTCACTGCCTCCTGAGCTTCCCATTGGCCCTTCAATAGGGCAAGGTCAACTTCCACTTTCACTTATAGCCCCAGAATTACTATCCCCCAGGCCTTCTATTGTCCTCCCAGTATCTGCTCTTGCCTGTCAAATTCAGCCTAGTATTGTCACTGCCCAAGCCTCCCATCCACCCCTTGAATGGGTACAGTTCACCCCAGCGTGTCATTCACAATCCCCAGTGCTAATATCCTCACAGTCTCTCATTGTCTCCTCTGAGCTCTTCCAGGGTCAGTCTTTGCCTGTCACTTACAATCTTCCTGCCCCTGTAATTCAAAAGCCTCTAATAGAAGTAACAGAAGCCAGAACAGATCCAAGAACACACTTGACCAATATTGATGATAGAAATGTGGACTCACAATTTGAGACTCATACTTTGATTACAAAGGTATTAACCAAGTCATAGTTTTGCAATCCATAGCAGAGTCATTGATTGTGAAATGGTTATATGAGATCTAGGTTTAATGCTCATGCAAGAGGAGTATTGATGGTAGAAGTGTTGAGAGAGGCCTGGACTCTTTGCATAGTTCATAGGGATATTTATGGGAGGAATATTAACACTACCAAAGGTATAGTTTAGACTTTAAAGCTATTGATGGTGGAAGAGTTAACAGATTTATGAGTCTGAGGAAAAGAGAAAAATTTATGGTAGAAGAGTTGACAGCTAATTTGATTTGAAATCTAGATCAGATGGGTATTGATATTAGAAAGGTTAGCAGGGGCTTTGTTTCTTTGTCACATGTAGTAAGTTAAAATGGCCAAAATCCTTTGCAGCTCTTCCCATTCTTACATCGGGCTGTCCTTGTGACTTGATTTGACCAATATTGGTCAAGTGTGTTCTTGGATCTGTCAGAAGTGATGTTATGCTTATTATGAGCCAAACCTCAAGAGCTTGAGGTTTGTAGCTTCTACCTTCACCTCATAGAACTCTTCATCACGAAGAAAACCAGAATGAAAATTCAAGTGGAAAGGAGAGGCTCAGCCATCCTAGTCATTTTAGCCATCTCAAGTGAAGTCCCAGACATATGAGAGAGGCCATCTTCGACCTTACAGTTGACTGTAGTTGCATGTGTGAGCTCAGGAGAGAATACCAGAGAAATTGCTCAGTAAACCCTCAGAAACCTTAAAAATAATAAGTGATCGTTGTTTTAAGTCACTAACTTTTGTGGTTGTTTATTACAAAGCAAAGGATAACTGAAATATTTGAAATAACAGAGGAGTTTTAATAATGGACTAGTTAACAAAGAATAAGGACAATCCAGAGCCCACTGATGGTCCAGAAAGGCACTGATGATGCAATAATTAATAAAGCTCAGGTTTGATCTCAAGACCACAGGGGCAATGATTGTGGAAGAGTTAACCTACACCCAGGCTGAATTTCAACCAGCTGAGCACTGACAGTAGAATAACTTAAAGAAGCTGAAGTTTGAATTCAGAAGAGAGGAGTGCTGATGGTGGAACAGTTAGGAAAGTTCCAGGATTCAAGATCTCTACCAGTGAGGTATTGATGTGGAAAACAACAGTAGCCCTAGTTCAAGGTAAAATCACAAGGGCCTTGATGGTGGAAGAGGTAACAGAAGCCTAGTTTCAAGGTCATTCAAGAGAGATTTTATTTCAGATTTTAGTTTGGTATCCAGAATATATAAAGAACTCATAACTTGACAGTAAAAAGACAAAAATCCATTTAACAGGCAAAAGATTTGAAAGGACATTTTTCCAAAGAAGATATACACATGGCCCATAAGCTCATGAAAAAATTCTCACCATCGTCAATCATGAGGGAGATGTAAATTAAAACTACAATGAGGTATCAACTCATACCTGTCAGAATGGCTACTATCAATAAATCAACAAAAAACAAGATCTGACAAGGATGTGGAGAAAAGGGGACCCTAGTACACTGCTGGTGGGAATGCAGACTGGTGCAGCCACTGTGGAAAACAGTATGGAGTTCCCTCAAAAATTAAAATTGGAACTGCCAGTCAGAGAAAGACAAGTATCACATGATCTCATTTACATGTGGAATCTAATGAACAAAATAAACTGACAAACAAAATAAATCCAGAGACATAGAAGCATGCAGTAGACTGAGGATTCTCAGAGGGGAGAGAGGTGGGGAGAGGGAAGAGATCAACCCAAGAACTTATATGCTTTCATACATAACCCATGGACACAGACAATAGTGGGGTGAAGGCCTGGGGAGGGGACAGGAGTGGGGAGAAGGGGGGACAATGGGGAAAAAAGGGGAGACATCTGTAATACTTTCAACAACAAAGATAAATTAAAGTGAATGAATGAATGAATGAATGAATGAATCAATCAATCAAAGTGCCTTTTGACCCAGCCATCCTACTTCTGGGTATAAATCTGAAGAATCCTGTAACACTAATTCAAAAGAATGTATGCACCCCTATGTTCATAGCAGCATTATTTCAATAGCCAAGATCTGGAAACAGCCCAAGTGCCCATCTGTAGATGAGTGGACAAAAAAAGCTATGGTACATTTACACAATGGAATACTATGCAGCTGTGAAAAAGAAGGATCTCTTACCCTTTGTGACAGCATGGATGCACCTGGAGATTATTATGCTAAGTAAAATAAGCCAGTCAGAGAAAGACAAATGCCTTATGATCTCAGTAATATGTAGACTCTAATGAACAAAATAAACTGACAAACAAAATAGAACCACAGACTGACAAATGTAATGGAACAGACTGACAAATGTCAGAGGGGAGGGGTAGTAGGGATGACTGGATAAAAGGAGGTGAAGGGATTAGCTAAAGAACATATATGCAGCGCTGGCTGGTTTTGCTCAATGGTTAGAGTGTCAGCCCGCAGACCAAAGGGTTGCAGGTTTGATTTCCGACATGTACCTGGGTTGCAGGTTCGATCTCTGGCTCCAGTAGGGGTGCATGTGGGAGGCAACCAATCTTGTCTCTCACATTGATGTTTCTCTCTCTCTGTCTCCCCTCCCTGCTCTAAAAATCAATGTAAAAAATATCCTCAGGTGAAGATTT